CAGAGGCTGAAACAGCACAATATGGAAGGAGCCAATATAGGCTGGAAACCCACAAAGTGCTGATGGAGGAATGGAATGAAAGGATGATTCAATGACTGAAGCACTGCTTGGGGATGTGGAGGACCTGAACTGGGATCCTGACTTCTCCACAGAAACCCTGCCTAAAAAAGAGCAACCTTGTCCTGTCCAAAAGAAGCACCAGCTGTTTGTGCTGACAGCTTTTAAGATGGTTAATTTAGCATTTCAAGTGAAGACACTAATCAGCCTGAAAAACCAGACAGTGACAAGATGAGAATTATTCCTGCCTGTACCTATCACGGGCCAGAAATACCAACTGGCTGTTGATATCCTTGCTATTCCTCTGGCAATGGTCCCCAGCCACCTCCATTGGACTGAATGTGGAGTCAGCCATTTGCGTGGCCAAAGTCTCAATAAGAGATGTGGCAGACTAGGGTAAAAGGAAAGATGGGAGCAGCTGTGGAAGGGAGACAAGATAAAAAGGAATAAAAAGGTGGTGTGTTTACTGTTTGATATCTCCAGCTCTGAGATCCTCAGGACAAAGTCTGCTCTCTTTTTGCCAAGAAACCTTCTCATATTTTGCCTTGTTTCTTTGAGAAAACAGGACAGACCCAACAGTTTGAGTGCAACTGTGAACTGCCAGTAGGTAAGACGTAGCTTGGACATTGTACTTTGTTTCTTGGTTTTTTTTTTTACCTGCATAAATGGTACATGCAAATACTGCGCAATGCATGATCGCACGAGAATGTGGGGAAGAACCCGAATCAGTCTGTGAGCCAACATTGTGCATTCTGTGGTCTTCAGAGGCTAGTGCAGGGGCTTTCCATTGCTGCCGCCTTGAGAGAAGAGTAAAACTTTAGGCAGAGGGTCCATCACGCAAACAGCACCTATAGGCTCTTGTGCACCACAGGTCCTCACAAAGAAAAGTAATATCTGCTGTTTCATGGGACCTTGAGCTACTAGTGGGCAGAGAAAAGCTACTGAAAAGATTTCAGTATCCTTAGCTGCCCTAATTCAGATTTGAACTTCAAATCTGAAGAGACTGAGGGTGGTCAGCACCACTCAGAAATGGGCCCTGAAAAGAAAGCTGACCCAAAGCTTTGAAAATAGCTAAAATTCTGTGGGTTTAGCTCACTTTCCTTCGGCACAATGGGAATTGAAAGAAAGTACCTGCAACAGTTGCACTTCTGGCAAGTCATTCTTGAGTAACAGGACACAGGCTAGAAAAGACAGTGCCAGCAAATCTCATTTCTTTAAGTAGTTTATTTTCTGTTGTACATGCTTACTGCATAGCAAAATAATGTGTCTATATATTTACATTATTTAAATTAATGTAATATTAATATAATAACATGTTTATATTTTACTTCTCAGTACCAAATACTCAAAAGTCTCTTCTGTGGCCAATGAACAATGGAAGTATTTATGACATAGGATTACACTGGATTATTAAAAAAACCTTATGGATATTGCCTACAAATTATCTACAGTGATTTAAATCCCATAGTTTTTACAGCACATCTGCACACTTCCAGAGCATTTTTGGTGTTTGATTATTTAAAGTTGTAATACAAATTTCCCATCTGAAATGGAATTTTTATCCTCCATTTTGAATAAAGACCACACATTTGCAGTTTGAGTATGCTTATGTCACCAAACTCCATTACTTTTGGTGGTTTTAAGGCTATATAACCTTAAGTGCTTTGAAAAGGCCAAAGGCTCTGTTAGTTTCAGATGATTTCAGATGGCATCCAACTCAGCTTTTGACCAAGGTTCCTAGAGGTAAAAGTGCATACTGACAATTCAGTACACTATAAGTCTGTCTGCTGTGTAAACTCAATTCAGGTGACAAATCCAGTCCAACTGGGGAAAAGCTATCTTGTGTTAAAGTCACTCAGATTAACCCTATAAATAAAATGTAGGTATTATGAGAGTTTGAAAAGGCCATTCTTGAATACTTTGAACTTTCAAGACTCCTATTAGCATCAGTTAGATTTCTAAGGCCGTTAGGTGATGTTTGCCTTTGCACGGGATAAAGCCTTGGAAGGAAAAGGGGCCCAAGACAGCTGATCAATATTCAAGGATCGCCTCCTTGAAGCTCAGGAGCAATGCATCCCAGTGAAGAGGAAGTCAGGCAAAAATGCCAGGAGACCTGTGTGGATGAACAAGAAGCTCCTGGAGAAACTCAAACAAAAAAAAAGGAAGTCTACAGAGGGTGGAACCAAGGACAATTAGCCTGGGACAAATACAGAGAAAACATCTGGGTGGCCAGGGATCTAGTTCGGAAAGCCAAGGCCCTCATAGAATTAAACCTGGCCAGGGACATCAGGGCAAGAAGAAACACTTCTACAGGGATTTCAGTGATAAAAGGAAGACTGGGGAAAATGTGGGCCACCTCCAGGAGGATACGGGAGACATGGTTGCCCGGGATATGGAGAAGGCTGAGGTAGTGAATGACTTTTTTGCCTCAGTTTTCACCAGCAAGTGCTCCAGCCACACCGCCCAAGTCACAGAAGGCAAAGGCAGGGGCTGACAGAATGAAGAACCACCCACTGTAGGAGAAGATCAGGTTTGAGACTACGTAAGGAACCTGAAGGTGCACAAATCCATGGGACCTGATGATACTCATCCATGGGTCCTGAGGCAACTGGCAGATGAAGTTGCTAAGCCACTATACATCATTTGAGAAGTGGCAGTCTGGTGAAGTTCCCACTGACTGAAAAAGAGGAGACAAAACACCCATTTTTAAAAAGGGAAAAAAGGAAGGCCCAGGGAACTACAGCCAGTCAGTCTCACCTCTGTGCCCAGCAAGATCATGGAGCAGATCCTCCTGGAAACTATGCTAGGGCACATGGAAAATAAGGAGGTGATTGGTGGTAGCCAACATGGCTTCACTAAGGGAAATTGTGCCCGACAAATTTGGTGGCCTTCTACAATGGGGTTAAAGCATTGGTGGATAAGGGAAGAGCAACTGACATCATCTACCTGGACTCATGCAAAGCATCCGACATTGTCCTGCACAACATTCTCATCTCTAAACTAGAGAGACACGGATTTGACAGATGGACCACTCAGTGGATAAGGAATCACCTGGAAGGTTGCAGTCAAAGAGTCACGGTCAACAGCTCAATGTCTGAGCGGATACCAGTGACGAGTGATATTCTTCAGGATCAATATTGGGACTGGTGCTGTTTAACATCTTTGCTGGAGAGATGGACAGTGGGACTGAGTGCACCCTTAGCAAGTTTGCTGATGACATCAAGGTGTGTTGTGCGGTTGACATGCTGGGGTGAAGGGATGCTGTCCAGGGGGATCTTGACAGGCTTGAGAAGTGAGGCTGCATGAACCTCATGAGATTCAACAAGTTGAAGTGCAAGGTTCTGCACCTGGATGAGAGCAATCCCAAGCACCCACACAGGCTGGGTGATGAGTGGATTGAGAGCAGCCCTGCAGAGACGGACTTGGGGGGACTGGTGGGTGAAAAACTGAATACAAGCCAGCAATGTGCCCTTGCAGCCCAGAAAGCCAAACACATCCTGGGCTGCATCAAAAGATGTCAGGCCAGCAGTTCAAGGGAGGTGATTCTCGCTCTCTATTCTGCTCTGGTGACACCTCACTTGCAGTACTGTGTTCAGCTCTGGGGTCCCCAGCACAAGAAAGACATGGACCTGCTCAAGCGGGTCCAGCAAAGGGCCACAAAGATGATCAGGGGGCTGGAGCACCTCCCCTGTGAGGACAGGATGAGAGAGTTGGGGTTGTTCAGCCTAGAGAAGAGAAGGGTCCGCAGAGACCTTATAGCAGCCTTCCAGTACTTAAAAGGGGGCTTATAGGAAAGGTGGGGAGGGACTTTATCAGTGGCAGTAGTGGTTGGACAAGGGGTAACGGTTTCAAATTGAAAGAGGATAGATATAGATGAGATACTAGGAAGATGTTCTTCACTGTGAGGGTACTGAGACACTGGAACAGGTTGCCCAGAGAAGTTGTGTCTGTCCCATTCCTGGAAGTGTTCAAGGCCAGATTGGATGGGGCTTTGAGCAACCTGGTCTAGCAAAAGGTGTCCCTGCCCATGGTGGGGGGATTGGAAGGAGATGGTCTTTAAGGTCCCTTCCAATGCAAACCGTTCTATGATATTTTCAGTTTCTTCTACTTGTGAGATTATGCCAGTTGTGCTGAGTTATATATTTCCATTAAATAACATTACAAATATTCATTATGCTTTGGGATTATTAAAAGTCTCTGAGCTGCAGGTATGAATGTAAATAACATTCACTCACTCAAAAGGAGTGAGTGCTTTCACCTCAGTGTAGAAGGGGTAAAAAATCTCCTGATATAAATAAAACAGCTAACCTCATGCAGCTGGCTGCGGCCTTCCTTACACTACTGCCTTTTTTGATCTGCTTTCTATACAGACAAGCTGATGTAAACCTGTTACTAGCAAGGGCAGAGAAATTGAAAAAAGGCTCAGCTTGTCAATCAAAAAATCAAAATATTTTTGAATGACTGAACAGAGAAAGTAAAAGCCCAGAGGATAGCCACACTTAAAAATCCGCTTAAAAATCCATTTGAGTAATAGTCCTACAGGATTCATTTACCACAATGTACTCAAATACAAGCCCTTCCTATCAAAAATCTAGTCTAACAAACTGTACGGGTACCATAAGTAATTGCACAACCCTGACAATAGCTTCTATACTGGGGCTCTATTCAGAGAACTGTATATACATGTATGCACGCCTTAGAAATGCAAACATTTCAAATAATACATGCATCAAATATTATTCAGGCATGAAAATGTAAGTATGCTACAAAGTAGGATTCAAGCATGAAAAATGTTTCTGTATGAAGTTTCCAATAAGATCGAACTGTTGGTTTCCCACAAGTGATGAATACTACCACGTGTTTATTCTGTGGACCCGTAGCAGATGGATATTAGTGGAGACTGATATGTTAGGATGCTTTTTTCCTGCAGTAAACAAATTGTGCTATCGTGGTGACTGGAAAACAGACTTTTTTCTTGGGCATTCACTTGAAATGGAAGTTCTTAAAGTGTCCAGAGAGTTTTCCATCTGCACAGACTGTGATTTTCTGCATCTTTTTGGGAACAAGTCCTTGTAGAATTCCACAGCCTTCTTCTGGAAGTGCTTCCCAACAATTACGTACAGGACTGGGTTCAGGCAGCTGTTGCTAAAGGCACAGTACGTAGCTATCTGGGTCACTATGTCATTGATATCTTCCAGGCATTTGAAAGTGGGTGCAAAGTAACGGATTGTGTCGATGAGCGTGCTGATCTGGAACGGAAGCCAGCAAACGATGAACAGCAAGAGCACAGCAAGGACCAGAACGGTGGCTCTCCTCTCTGTCTGGACTAACTTGAGTTTTTGCAGCTCACTGCTTCGTAGCGCTTTGACGATTTGCATAGTGCAGTAGGTGATTACACAGAGTGGGATCACAAAGCCCACAATATTCAGCAAGCAGTTGTTTGCAGGCTCCCAGTAACTGGATGGGTAAACAAGACCACAGGCTGTGATGTTGTATTCTTCGTAATACTGTAAATTTCGGAACACCATTGTAGGTGAACATATGAGCAATGCACATGTCCAGACCACAAAGCTATTCCATTTGGCACAGGCAGTTCGTCGCATCCGTCCAAGAGACATGGTTTTCACCAGGGCCAGATAGCGGTCAATGCTCACTAATGTCAGGAAATAAATGCTAGAATAAAAGTTCATGTTACTCATTATGTTGACAGCTTTACAGAGGAACAGGCCAAAAGGCCATTGAAAATTATTAGAAATATTAATGGCCCAGAAAGGCAAAGCACAGACTAACATTAGGTCAGCAAGTGCCATGTTTGCTAGGTAAATTTCTGCCACTGTGCAGCGACTCTTGTGGAAACACAGGACAATGAGGACAAAAGAATTTTCTATTGCTCCTAGAATAAATATAAACCAGAGGAATCCAGGCTGAAAATTCTGTAGCCATTTCCATACATCTGAATTAATACATTCATACTGATTCAGCTGATGCACTCCTGAATTATTATGGAAATTCGCTGGACTGACTCTGAGCTCCTGGGTGGCGACAATGTTGTAAAGTCGTGTAACATTTTCAGCTGTGAAGGAAACCATTTCTGTGCAGAGAAAAAGAAAAAGGTCACATGAGGTGGCTACATTTAGTGCATTGCTGCAAAAGACACAATAAGAAAAGCTGGCTCTGCTTTTCCTACTGTCCTAAAAAGCGTGGCTTTGAATAGGCTTACAATGCTCTGGGTTGCTTTCTTGTAGACACCTGCACCCTTGCGGAGAGTTTCACAGACCAAACTGCTATGGACTGTGTGGACTAGTTTTAAGTGGGTGAAACAGAGAGGGTAGAGCAACAGCAGACATTGCAACCAACAGATTAACTGAAGAGAACCTTTACCAGCCTACATGCACTAGAATCAGGCTGCAGCAGGTCTTTTTTAATTCTTTGAGGAGGTTCATTGTTACTTTTGCTTCTTGTCCTTGTGTATTGATAGCCATAGTCCCCTAAAGGATAGATGTGCCCTGTGAATCTCATATTGCTCATCATTAAGCAGACAGTCCTGTGGCATGTCCCTCAACATTTTACACCCTCTCTTATAAAGAAAGAATTGGGTGGAACTCAGTGATACTTCCTCCCCAATCACCACCATATTTTTTCCCCAATGTTCTGACTGTCACAGCAGACATTTAGTTTGCAGCTCTAGTTTTCACTGAGAAAGCTGAAGGAAGATCAGTGTTGGCAAGCAGTGTGCCTTTCTCAGTTCTCGCTGGAATCACCTGTGTATTTCTGTCTCTGTGTTACAATCTCTTTCTGCAAACAAGTCACAGAAGAGATAAGTGGTACAACCTTTGTGAGGGAACTTGGTTTTAATAGGTCTGCAGTGGGTTGGTTAGAAGTTTGGCAAAGATGGTGGTCATCAGGTAGGCCAGGACCTGCCTGCAGTCAGGCTGCAGTGAGCCAACTCGGGTGCAAGAGCACAGTCTGAAAACCAGCAGCTGTACTGTAAATATTCTATGGGTCGGAACAGCTTGGGGTCTTACAAGGAGCTATTTGCAGGCATAAATGTCAGGTATACATTTAAATGTTACTAAAACCAAACAGAAGTTGAGCGTGTAGCATCCACTCTACTGTGAAAATGTTAACTGTGTTTTTCATTTGTGCTCTCAGATAATGAATGCTGAGATATTCAAATGCAAGACTGGCTTCCCAGATCTGTATACATAGTTCTGTGGACTGTGTGACAGAAATAGTTTGTCTTTTTCCAGGTCTTTAAAATACCACTGTTTATATTATGGTTTGATGGTAAGTTTTTCAGATGTACCTTTAGACATTTGTCTGATTCAGCTGGTAACTTGGCAGTAAAAAGTGGACACATTTGTAATTCCTGAAAGGACATCTGTGCTCTGTTACTGGGTTTGTTGGCTGATAAGCGTCAGTGCTTGATAAGCATATAGACATTTGGCTGTTGGATGCAGAATTACTCAAAAATTATGGTCATATTTTGTGTACTCAGTTTTAATTAAGCACCGTAGTGCAAAGATGAAGACCACATTTCACTAAGTGCAGTAAAGGCAGTAACAAAGGAGTCTCTCTCTGTATTGTAAAATTTAAAACAGGGGTGTGAGGCAGGACAGGTCAACTGAATGAAACAGGCAAGTGGGACTGAGAACCTTGAAAGACAAGGCAACCTACATTGGACTAATGAGCACAAACCAAAATGTCAGCAACACACATTTCCAATCCATAACTTGAGCAAAAGGACAGTATTTGCATAAGCTGGGTAACAACATAAATAATCTCATTCTCCAAGCTCATCCTTCCAAAACCTCAACTCTTCAAACTCATATCTAACTGCAGGAACATATCTCCATCCTCTACCCTGCCTCTTCATTAACCTTGTAATTGTTAGAACAACCTTGCTCTTGAGACACATGTATTCTTTTGATTTCTGATTGGTTTCAACCAGCATCTGGAGCATGTGTTGATGGAGCCTCTTTATTACACAGCATTACATGTTGTAGACATCCATCCAGTGACCTATGCTTTTGGTGACACTGGTTGTCTGGAGCTTTTAGGTCTAGTGGATATGGATTTATTTGTTCTATACTGAAATTAAATGCAATTTGCAGTGCATGCTATTTAACATTGCCAATATTCTGATTGTACTCTTTTCATCTTCCAGGTGCAAGCAACTACTGTAGGTTGTAAATACTTTGGTTAGAAATCTTATTTTTGTTTAAGCCCTTCCAGGCATAGCAGAGCACCTGCACGTATAGTGCAGTTTTCCTGTGACTTTATTTGTTCATATTTCAGCACAATGAGATAGAGGACAATACCAAAAACCTCACTGAAACTGAGATATGCTTGATCTATTGCTTCTGCTTTATCCATTAGGCCAGATTAGATTAGTCCAATACAATTTTATTCTTGGCAAGTTTATGTTGGCAGCTCCTTATCACTTTGTTATTCTGCTTATCCTCCATATGTGGATATACTGATTATTTAATATTTTGCTGTCATGTTTTCCAGGTATTTAAATGAGAATGACAGGTTTGTAAATCCCTGGGTCATGCTGTCTGTGCCTTTTAAAGACAGGTATTGTTTTGCCCTCTCTGGGCTTCTGAAATGTCCCCATTCTCCTTGGTTTCACAGACATAAAAAATGATAGCAAACATTTCCTCTCCTAATTCCTAAACCGTGCCAGGGTGTGTTACATGTGATCCTGCCACTTTGCATAACTCCATATGTTCTTTAATTTGTTCTTTCCCAGTTCACATAAATCCAACTGTTCAAATCAGTCACCTTAAATATCAGATCACAATCTTCATTTCTGAGAGGACTAACACAGGGTCGTCATTGAACTTTTCATCGTTCTCTGTTACTGGTTCCCTTTTCCTTTTGGTGACAAGCCCAGACTTTCCTCCATTATCCTTTTACTTTTGGTATATTTATAGAAATATTTTATATTACCTCCTCTATCTCCTATTAACTGCAACTAATTTTTGTCCTGATGCTTTTGATATCTTTGATGGTTTGAGTTCTTGATACCTCAGATAGCCATACTTTTCTCAGTTAATCCCTCTATAGCAAAACCTGGCATCAAGGTCCTGGTATTCATAAGCACTTAAATATATCAAAGCCCAACTTTTGTGGCTGTGAGAGATGCCAGCTGCAAACAGCAGTTTCAAGTCTCCCTTTCTGTGCATGCTGGCACTTTACACTGACACGACACATAGGAAGTGAAATACTAATGGATGATCCACGAAAGGTCATCTGAAAACAGAGAAGTTCTGTTGGGCAATGCAATTAGCGGAAGCTGTTTCTTCTGCTGGTAGCAGGCTGTGAACCAGCAGAAAGAATTGTGAGTGCATTATTTTATGCTTTGAGGTTGGATGTATGCACATATTTAATAAGATGTTCATTAGTAATTCAAAGACTGGTCATAAAGGCTATGTTGGCAATTTCTATGCCTTTCCCTCATTATATGATTAATAGAAAAACAACAAACAGGAATTAATTTACAGCAAATATCAGCTCAAAAACTTCCTACTGATTTATGATAATGTTCCTACAATTAATCTACTTTAGATTATTTTTTTTTAGAAGGGAAAGCCCTAGAATACTTTAAAATAAATGAATTATATCACATTACTGTGGCCTAGGAACAGTGTACAGGGCCTAGTTAGGATGTGACCAAGTCCATGACATGGTACTTCTGGCAACCATCCTTAGCTCAAGCCCTTTCATAAAGAATTGGTAGAAATTTGGGAGTGAACAAGGTAAAATGTGCTAATGATCAATTTACAAATCCTATTAAAATTACGTGCTTGGTGCTAGTCTCTATAGCACAGGAAACTCACTTAAAGTACGTGCTTACTGTATACATTATGATTGACATAGCCACAATTTAGAAAAGGGAGTGATCTGCCATTTGCTTATCACAGTTTAGTGAAAATAAATGTGACCCTTTCACACTCTCTCTACAAACGCTTTCTGTGAAATGCAAGACAGGCCTAATGTCTCAGCTGGGACTCTCAAACAGATTTTATCTGTCAGTTTTGATTGAAATACTGCCCAGCTGAAGCAATCTGTCATTACTGATTGTGAAGGACTCCTGTGGGGGCTGAATTTGTCCCTGCTGGAATTCACCTCCTACTGTTAACCTCATCCTTGACAGTCACTTAAAACTTTGTCAGCCGTTGTTTCATGCTGTTCCAGAATAGTTTTTGTTGATAGCATCGGGCACACATGGTAAGCTTTTGATAGTGGTGGGCTGCAGGGTGCCCTGTGTGGGAAGCAGTCATGACCTTCCCAGTGCCGGTGACAGCCAGTCCTGTGCCTCTTGTAGACCATGCCCTGACCAAGGGAGGAAGGCTATGGGAGTCTGCTGATGCAGAGTTATGTTGAGCAATGGCTGGATCCTGCCAACACTGCAAATGAAGAACCCTTGCAGAGGGACTGGGAAGAAGGGGTTAATCAACCCTGGTTGCTGGGCTGTTGGCTTCTCTTTACAGGCAAGTGGAGGAGGACCCAAAAATGTGATAGTCACCAGTGCCATGGCCTGAAAGCTCTGAGGGCTGGGCACAGTCAATGGTGCACCTTGGTATTGGCTGGTAAGCTGGTGGGATGTCCTGCTGGTCAAGGTCAGACCTGTATGTGCTGTACTGTGGGAGCATGCAGAAGACAGGTGTGAGATTATCAGCAAGCCAAGGATAACACCTAGAGTCCAGGTGCGGACTTGGAATAAGTGTCCTGTGTGGAGGGAAAAATCTCCATGCTACAGTCATACGTGCTGCGGTTTATGAGTGCACTGGCAAGAAAGAAGCTGGATATGATGAAGAGGGACAAAACCCCCTTTAAGAATTAGAGCTGTGAGCTAAGGAATGGAAGGGTAGGGAAGAAATGGTCAGAGCTCAGTTAATGCTGCTACTGGATGTGAGCAAGCTCCAGGACAGCTAAGCCATTTGGTGCACTGCTTTACTCCCCAGGTTCAGAAATGCTCATGCTGCATCAGGTGAACTTTTTTCACAACCTGTTTTGGGTCTGGATGAAACCCTACAGCTACTAGACTCATGAATCTATTAGTACCTCCACTAGTGGTAGT